AGTAGTGAGGTGCCCGAAGCGGTTGCCAGCACCATCGCCAGAAGTCGAAAGCCCAGAAGGCTCGACATGATTAGAGGGGAAGACGGAAATGCGAGGTGCTTGGAATCTTGTGCCAACACTTGAGCCACATTCAAGGCAGTTGAGCTTGGTTGCTCATCTGAACAGCAAAAATAGGAAGCGCAGCCCCATTTAGACACCACATGTCAGCTTTCCACCTGACTTGAAAAATCACTGTATGTCCCACTGAATGAACAGTTGAGCCCTCTCCACCCTGGCTCTGAGTCCTTGCGTCTGCCGACGAAGGAGCATACGGGGGCAGTGCTGCCCGGGAGGGCGCAGCAGCTGCTGCTAAGGCCTCAACAAAGCATCGGCTGGTTCTGGTTTTGTCTGCATTCATGTCTAAGCCCAAGCTTTCAGCCAGGTCATGTTTGACAAGTCAAAAAAAGCCAAACATAAGTTGCACCTTCGAACTAACCTCCCCAAACTGTCTCTGCTCCAAGCTGCTACACCTCATTGGCCACGGCCTTTTCGGGGCTGCCGTGACAACTCAAGTTGCCTGAGCGAAGAAGTAGCTACCCAAAGGCTTGGGATAAGAGCGTCAGAGGCAAACTTAGATGTCCAGGCTTGGTAGGGCGAGGGTTTCTTTTTACACCCTTTGGAACGGGTGTCAATGCTTCTGCTGCACTAGCTGCGGCAAAATTCCAGACGACACACTCTTCGGCTCTTCGGCACGCTGCACGGAAATATGCGCACCTACACCCCGGCCTTTTGAAATTGTCCTGAACCTAACCTAACATCCCAAGCATGACGCTCTAATCTCCACGCTGGAGGCACGGCTAAACAGCCACGACATGAGCTGCTCGTAGGTCACCTGCTGCAGCCAGCTTGGAGCCTTTGAAGTTTCGGCTTAGATCCAGCCCTCTGAGAGGAGCCTTGGGCGTCACTCTTCGGTGATGGGCTCCTCCCCTCGCATTACTGCATGATTCCTGCGCCTGCTTCTCGGTCCAGTCCCCGGAATCCGGCAGCGCGGTGCGAAATGCGCGGAGGATCTTTTCCTCCAGCATGCTTGCGATTGCATCAAAGGGCTGAGAACTTTCTAAGCTGATTACCCTCAACCGAAGGCGTAAGGGAAAGGACTCGACTCACAGCACTTCGAATGGGCTCCTGCTGGCCCTGTTGCTCGACCTGAGTTGAAGCCAGTCAAAAGCAGGTCGCGAAGAAATCTGGGGACATGGCAGAGACTCTAGGTTCTTTGGGGCGAGCGCCAGGAAGTTCTTATACCTACAAAATAGTTGCTGACCATCTCGTGCTTTCGCACCTACAATAGGTAACACTGCCCAGGCAAAACTGAGCATAACTGAGCCAAAGCGCATCTTCGCCGTTGTGGCCATGCTTTGCGAGAGGCAGCCAGCCCGGCGGCAGCGGAATTTGCGCTGCCGCACGGGTGCTGGCAAATACCCCCCAAGCCACAGAACAGCTTGCAGAGTCAGGGCATCCTGTTTCATGTCTTTCAAAGGTGCAGTGACCAGCGTCATCTTCTTCACAGCATGACGAGAATAGAGTTTGCTATTCATGGCATATCATGGTATCTTTCATCCATTCATGCACCGAACAGCCTAGAGCACGTGCATCCTTCCACACGCTCACTAGCCCTCCGGGATTTTTCATGATTTTGTGCGTTCTTCTTCAGCATGTTTGCCTTTTGCAAGGGAATGACTACTGAAGCATCATGGTTATCTTGCTTTGTCTCCCGTGTCATTTCAAAGGGTTGCTGGCGTCATCTCTGAAGTCATGTCGCCCCGAGATATGATCTAATGGTTGGGAATTTTGACTGTCATTTATATCACCACCAGCACCCGGTTCATGCATCCATGCTCTCCCGGTGCCAAGCTTCAGCAAGCACCGCGAGCACCGCGACTGATATGCAGAAGTGGATATCACAACCATTATGATGATGAAAACGCGCATCTCGCTCACTTGACAGCACGCTTTTCTCGACTTCGTCGCTGTGTCGCTGTACATCTTGCGCAGCATCGCCGACAAACTTTGGGCGAAGCCAAACCTCTCGGGGGCTATTCCTCGGTCTCTTCTGTTTTCTCAGGCGCTTGGTCTGCAGCCTCTGGCTCAACCGCATCCTCCACCTCATCCCCCACAGCAGCGGTCTTCTTGGCTGCCCGCCTTGCGCAAGCGCCAAAACGTACTGGGTTTGAGGGGCCTGACTAACTATCAGGACCTTTGTACCTCAATCCCATATAGGCCTCTTCCGAGGATCCTCCACGATGGAGGCCCGCTCCAGAAGCTGGATTGCCTCTTGAGCATCGAGCTGAACCAGTGGGGCCCATGACAGTACGTACAGCTACCCTCAAGGATTCTGGGATCAACAAGGAACCGTGCGGATCCTGACTTAGGATCACTCCCTTATTTAAGGCTCTACATAAAACAGATCTGTCTTGGATGGCTACGTTCAACTTGACCTTGAAATCCTAGAGGGAACTCATGAAGTCAGCCACTGATTCGAAATCACAGCATTGCACTCGCAGCAGCTGTATGATATTTGTCCTTGCCGAATCCTAAAACGTCCTCTATTCTTCACTGCATGTGTGGCCGCATCATGTCTCCTTCTTGGCACATGTGACTAGATCTGCCCGGACCATGCATTACCCAACCTCGACATGGACTGTCTGCGGGAAGGAGTCTACAGCCACTGTCCGAACTGGCACGAAGTCGTCAGCCTCTTCCTGTCAGTCACACACCCCTATCGAAAAAGGTTCCCAGAGTCTCTCTGTGGGGCATATACATGTTTCATCATGTTTCCACACGACCTCTAGATCATGTTTCTTAAAACCGAGACCTCTGGCCTGCCACTGGTCTACCTGCATGCACCCACCCTTCGATCCTCTGTCGAGGAGCCCAACTTTGCCACATCCTGTCAGCTGATTTTTGGTCATGATCTAGCCGAGGGCTTCTGGGAGATGGGATCTGACCAGTGCAATTGAAATGACAAAGCCAAGCCTCAGCCATGCTCTCCACATTGCAGCCTCAGCAACACAAGTGTCCAAGAGCAACGGGCTCAACGGCTAACAACTTGCCGCTTGGAAGGAAGCTCCTTTTGGCAGACGCAGTGACTTCGAGATTCTCAAGCAAGTTCTTCAAAGGCAAAGTCCCAAGCATATGCGACCGCGCACATCTCGCAGATTCAGCGGCACTCAGGTTTGGGCTGATGTACACGATGCGCAAGACTTGCGTCCGCCTAGGCTTCTGAGACGGTCAGCGTGAATGCAGTGACTGCTGTGGTGGCAGTATATGTTCTTAAGTATATGTGAGGCTAGCTGCTGATGCGTTCGTGGCACGCCTCAGGACCGATGCGCCATGTTTCTCTCGTGACGGGTCCGCAGTGTCCAAATGCGGTCAGCATGGCATCATCTAAGACGAAGCCGAAGTGGGACATCCCAGTCTCTGCTGGGCACTGAAATAACGTGTGACATAACTTTTCATGCCCTTTTGTTAGCACGAAGCGTATGTCACCAAGATGGAATGAAATGCTTCGGCAGGCAAGTGGTGACCTCATAAAATCACCTCCACAAACATTAGCAGGCACCGATGCCCGAACGTTTGTGCAGAGGCGACATCTGTACAGCTCACCAGAGTCGGCCGCGCTCACGAAAACCACTAA